CAAATATAAAATTAAGCTTTTGTATAACTGTTATTATGATTTTGAGGGACTTTTTTCTATACAAAAGATTTTGTTAAAAATTTTAAAACTTTCATAAATATTTTTCTGAATTCAAAACAAAATTCCTTTGCAATTGCTAGAAAAAAAACTTTTCCTTAAAAGAAATAATTTTTTTTTTTTTTTTTTCGATTATAATTTATTCAGGCAACCAAGCAAACAGCAACAAACAACCTGCCACTGCCACCATATGGGCCGACAAAATATACATAATTCATGTGGCACTGCAAACAGCAACTACTTATTGGTGGCAGTGTTTTCCTAGAAAATCTCTAACAACATTTAGAATTTATTTTCCAACATCAAGCCTTAAACAAATAGTTGAAAGAAAACTGATGATCACATGATCATCATGATGATGACCAAGTTGTTGACAAGAAGGGAATGACAACATTGAAAAAAAAAACAAAGTAACTTGGTCCGTTTTAAGTCATGTTTTTATAGTTTAAGGCTATAAAATGTTAAAGAACTATATGCCTGACTAGACTTTTGCTGAAGTTAGTTGACTGGTTTGATGTTGTTGTTGTTTTTTTTTTTTTGCTCTACCGATCGTGCTTAATGATCTTGTTTAAAAGATTTGTTTGTCAGTGTTTTTCTTTCCTCTTTTCTACTTGTTTAAATATACTTGAGACTATTTGTTGTAATAGACTTTTCAAAAAAAAAAATCGTTTTCACAAAGAAATAACACAAATAGTTTGTTGTAGTTTTGTTAATAGAGAGATTGTCGTTCTTCATAGAAACCGATTTAAGCACCAACCAGTAGTCATTATGATCTACAGCTTCTCTCACTATTTATTTAGGCGTCTGGCTCCTATTGTAATAAGAATCTATTTTTTGTTACAGTCATAAGAAGGAAAAAAATCAATAATGACAGAAACAGAAAGACACAACACAAAAACAAAATCAATAAAAATTTGAAAATAATCATAAATTATAAGTTTTAAAGGCTACAACCAGCTAAATTTACAGGGTGTGTTAAAAACTATAAAAATTTAACTCAAAAAAATGGGAAATGAGATTTTTTTAATGAGAAATTTGCCATGAAGTGAAAAAGCAAATCGTTACCTTTTCCTTGAGAAGTCGAAATTTTAAAATATTAATAAAAATCTTCAAACTTCAGCCAACGTTTCTTCCTATAAAATTTCTGCTTTTTTAACTTTTTGAAAGAAGATTCTATGTCACTTGATTTCTTAAACTCCTTTTTTTAACTTTTGAATTTATTTATCTTTTTATTTTTCTATAGAAATTCTTCAATTGTTTACATTTAATTAACATAAATCTTAAGAAAACAAAACTTTAATATTCATGTTTATAGGAAATTTTTTTTATAGAAATCTAAGAGAGCAACAAAAAAAAAGGAATAAATTCATGACTTTTGTTTTTGTTTTCCTTTACTATCAAGTGTTTATTTAGTGATTTGTTAGTTTTCTACAGTTTACTATTTATTATTGCTCTTTTTTCTTAAACAGTGACTCTATTTACCTTAAAAAGGCAGAAAAAATAATAAGAAAAAAAAAAACTTCAAGTGCTGAAGAATGATTTAGTTGTAAGCAGGGTAAAAAAAACTAGAAGTATTTAGTAGTGCAACGCTAATCATGTTTATTTTATGAGTTTAAGTGTAAATTTCCTTGAAAATACGTTTCGTATTTTTCTGTTAAAGAAGCATTCGCTTGTTAAATAAATATAAAATTGACATATGCAAGTCATGTTAAGAGTTTAAAATAAATAGAAAAATATATTTTTTTCTTAGTTTCTTAGTGGATATTGAAAAATAAATCTTTAGCATTGACTTTTTTAATGGGGAGTTATAAGTTTAAGAGTTAAATAAATATAAGAGCAATTGTTTCAGAATTGAAACAAGCAGAGCAGAGAAGTAAAGTTAATACTATAGCCTTTCCAATGATATCCATTTTAACTATTTCTTGTAGTTGACTTTAAAACCTTTTTTCTTTTTATTTCACTTTAATAATAATTTAATAATATTTCCATACTATTTTGTGAAAAGCCAACACAGTTTTATTTGCGGGTCCATATAGTTTGTCTTTTTCTAGCATTTGACAACAAAACCTTTTTTCTTTTTATTTCATTTTACTGGCTTTTAATAATATTTCCATACTATTTTGTGAAAAGCCCACAAAGTTGCCTTTCTGGATCCATATAGCTGGTCTTTTTCTAGTATTTGACTTTAAAACCTTTTTTCTTTTTATTTCATTTTACTGGCTTTTAATAATATTTTCATATTATTTTGTGAAAAGCCAACACAGTTGCCTTTCCGGATCCATATAATTGGTCTTTTTGTAGCATTTGTTAACAAAACCTTTTTTCTTTTTATTTCATTTTACTGGCTTTTAATAATATTTTCATACTATTTTGTGAAAAGCCCACACAGTTGCCTTTCCGGATCCATATAGTTGGTCTTTTTGTAGCATTTGACTTTAAAACCTTATTTCTTTTTATTTCATTTTACTGGCTTTTTGATAATATTTGAATACATTTTGTGAAAAGCCCACACAGTTGCCTTTCCGGATCCATATAATTGGTCTTTTTGTAGCATTTGTCAACAAAACCTTTTTTCTTTTTATTTCATTTTACTGGCTTTTTGATAATATTTGAATACATTTTGTGAAAAGCCAACACTGTATCTTTTCCCTTGATATACAATTTAAATTTTGATTTATATTTTAAAAAACATACACAATTATCTTTCATTTGGTATACAATTTGAGTAATTTATAGAAGTCTTAGGGCAAATAGTTAGACACTCACTCACTCTCTGTATTAACAGTTATGTAAACTCACTCTCTCTCTCTTTTGCTTAATTGATATAACTTTTAAACACATATTATTATATTTTACTTTAAATCAAAATTTCAGTTTAAACCAAAAAAAAATCACCTGTTTTTTCCACTATTTCACTAAATAACTTTTTCATATCAATGTCATTCCATAACATTTTTTTTTAATATTTTAACAGACAACCAAGTTGTGGTTATTAGTTTTCTGGGCTACTGTGTTTCATTATGAGATGTTGTGGTTTTTTATATAAAAACTAAATGGAAAAATATATATACATATAAACTTAATCTAAAAACTATCATATACACTCAACTGTCATGTGGTCTCTAAACAGCGTTATGAAAGTTTATGCATTAAAAAAAATATTTGTAATGACATTTACAACAAGTAATTTAATATGTGTAATTTATATATATAAACTAAATATATTATGAAAAAAACAAGTAATTTTTTAAACTATCTCAAAAGCTTTTCTAGTTAAGAACAACAAGTGTTGTGGTTTCGATTACATCTTGACAGTTAAAATGCACTTAAAGAAATCTGTAAAATCTGTGAAATAACTAAATAAAATTAATTAAGTATTAAAGCTATTTTTATAATTTTTGCAAAAAATTGTTTGCTTTAACAAATATGTAATTTATTTTTGGAGTTTTCTTTGTAATTTAATATTTTATTTAGAAGCTGTAACATTTTCATACTCTACTAATGTGTTTGTTTAGACAAGTTGTGTACTTAGTTATTAATAAAGTCTAGATTTACTTGGGTAGTTTTTTCTTTTATTATAAAGTTTATTGTTTTTTTTTTCTAATGAATGGCAGTGTGAATGAAGGGTGTTTCTTGTTACACTAGAATTTTGTTAAGAAATTTAAAACGTTTTCGAAAAAGAATAACAGAGGAAGTATTGACACATGCTAGAATTCCAGCTACGTTACTTTGGGAAATCTGCAAACAAAACCAGCAAATTTCTATAGCAAAACTGACTAAGAAATCTGGCAGGAATTTATCAAAATTTTCTGACTGCAATAGCAGGAACATTTCTACAGGAAAACTAGCTGCACTTACAGCAGCTTTTCCTTGGGAAAACTTTGAGCAAAATATTGCTTCTCTGATATTATATATTATTCACAATTTCACAAAATTTTTGTAGAAACTTGCTTATTCCCCCCTTTTAATTACTTTACAATTCCCCCTTTTATTTTTCACACAAAAAAAAATATCTATTAATTCAACCTAGAAAAGTTGCAACATCCAAGAAAAAGTAGCAAACAGAAAAAGAGCATTCAATCAATTGAATTTAATTAATTTTTTAGTGTAATGTTTCAACACTTTTCTTTTTTTTTTGCTCTTCAACAAACCTAAATAAACCATAAATGATTTGTTTGCCTTACAAGCAACAAAATAACTATTGTCTCCAACTTAAGCAACAACCCCTAATAAACAACGAGACCCTCCCTCCTCTCCTTTAACTTTAACACTACAAAATTATTTTCCCCATTTAGAAAAATATATAAAAATAATATAAAATAACTTAAGGTTTATTATCTTTCATATTAAAGACCAAAACAGCCCAGCAGCAGCCGTTTATGTCTGTCAAATTTAATAAAAATCACTGATTTTGATTGATGTTGTTTTATTGAGCCTGATGCTCTCACAATAAGTATGACACACGAACACATATAGCAAACTCTTAGACATACAAAATATTTTCAACATGGCACCACGGAATAACTGTTTGACATACACAATTATTAGAGTTGATTTTTTCTTTTCATATAGCTGTGGCTGTTATTCATAAAGGGAGCTCAAAAAAGCAGAAAAAAAAAATAACGGTGTGAAAGGAGATGAAGAATTAATGATAAAGTAAACATTAGTTTAGTGTATGTGTAAATGTTGGTGAGTAAAGTAGGGAGCGTAACATATTGGTGACATTGTAATATAAGCCGCCATATTTTTTTTCGTTTAGAGAAAAAGGGTTGTATTTAGCATTGAACTAGAATTGTGGTTAAAGGGTAATGCAAAATAAAACAACAACAACATTTGACATTTTACAGCCAAATGAGCAGTTAGTTTTAAACAATAGCTTTAGAAATCTTAAAATGTTTTTATTATACTAATTCATAGCATTCTTAATTTCTTTCTCTTTACAGATGTTTTTTAAATTTCGAAATCTCTATATTTGACGCTGGTGTCTTTTTAAGTTTATTTCATGTTGAACTTTAAACTCACACACGCTTAGCTGCTTAAATCTAAAATAAAAGTGGAAAATTTCAACTTTACTCTCAACAAAATATAACCTGAAAATTATCTTATATAAAAGATATTGCAACAAAATAAATCTCTACAATTATTAGAGGAATAGTCGGCTTTTTTAAGCTGTCCTCAACTCTCCCTCTAAATTTCTCTCTCTTGGACTCACTCTGCTTAAAGATGTCGTTTCATTTAAAATATCACACAACATCACCTACAAGAGAGAGATGTCTTTATGCTATCATCTCGTTACTACTGCTAATAAGTTTTCATCATCGGGGCTGTCGAGCTGATGGCCTGCAGCATATGTCTGATAATGGTGGTGGAGTAGCGGGTGTTGGTATGGGTGGCAATATGGGCCTGGGCATGCATTCAATGGAAGTTAGTCCGGCTCCCGGTTATGGTTTGCCCGCCATACCCAAAGATCCCAACTCAAGATGTGAAGAAATTACGATACCCATGTGTCGTGGCATAGGCTATAACATGACCTCATTTCCCAATGAAATGAATCATGAAACACAAGATGAAGCTGGTTTGGAAGTGCATCAATTTTGGCCTTTGGTGGAAATAAAATGCTCACCTGATCTTAAATTCTTCTTATGCTCCATGTATACTCCCATTTGCTTGGAAGATTATCACAAACCTTTACCCGTCTGCCGTTCGGTATGTGAAAGAGCTCGAGCTGGCTGCGCACCCATTATGCAGCAGTATAGTTTTGAGTGGCCCGAAAGAATGGCTTGTGAAAATTTACCCTTCCACGGTGATCCCGATAATCTCTGTATGGAACAACCTTCTTATACCGATTCTTCTTCGTCTGGCGGTTCCTCCTCCAGTGGTGGCAGTGGCTCCGGCCGTGGTGATTCTTCTGGCAGTGGCTCATCCTCAGGTGGCGGTAAACGCAAACAATCCGGTTCGGGTTCATCATCTGGCTCCCAAAAATGTAAAGGCAAGAATTCAAAAAACTGCCAAAGCTCCCTAGGAGAAAAAACAAACGCAAAGGAATGCACATGCTCGTGTCGCCCACCTCTCATACTCCTGGGGAAGGAAGCTCAACTGATGCAGCCGCCACTGCACTATCCATGGTACATGAACTCGACTGTGTCAAGAATCGCCGGCGTTCAAAATTGCGCAATACCGTGCAAGGGCCCGTTCTTCACAAACGAAGAAAAGGAATTCGCCGGCATATGGATAACACTGTGGTCGGGCCTATGCTTTTGCAGCACTCTAATGACACTCACCACGTTCATCATCGACACCGAAAGGTTTAAGTATCCCGAGAGGCCTATCGTTTTCCTGTCAGCCTGTTATTTTATGGTGGCTGTGGGTTATTTATCCAAGAATTTCTTGCAAAATGAGGAAATTGCCTGTGATGGTCGTTTGCTGAAGGAAAGTTCAACGGGACCACATTCTTGTACCTTGGTTTTCCTGATGACTTATTTCTTTGGCATGGCTTCTTCGATATGGTGGGTTATCTTATCGTTCACCTGGTTTTTGGCGGCTGGTTTGAAATGGGGCAATGAGGCCATCACCAAACATTCACAATATTTCCATTTGGCAGCCTGGCTGATACCCACTGTACAATCTGTAGCTGTTCTACTACTCTCTGCCGTAGATGGTGATCCCATATTGGGCATTTGCTATGTGGGCAATTTGAACCCTGACCATTTGAAAACTTTTGTTTTGGCTCCTTTGTTTGTGTACCTGGTCATAGGCACTACCTTCCTAATGGCCGGTTTTGTCTCCCTCTTCCGCATACGTTCGGTAATTAAGCAACAAGGCGGCGTGGGTGCTGGCGTTAAGGCGGACAAACTGGAAAAGCTAATGATACGCATAGGCATCTTCTCGGTGCTATATACCGTCCCGGCTACCATAGTCATTGGCTGTTATCTTTACGAGGCGGCCTATTTCGAGGATTGGATCAAAGCCTTGGCCTGTCCTTGTGCTCAAATCAAGGGTCCCGGCAAAAAACCGTTGTATTCAGTTTTAATGTTAAAATACTTTATGGCTTTGGCGGTGGGCATAACATCCGGCGTATGGATATGGTCGGGTAAAACTTTAGAAAGTTGGCGCCGCTTTTGGCGACGTCTCTTTGGCCAGCCCGATCGTACCGGGGCCAATCAGGCGCTCATCAAACAAAGGCCACCCATACCACATCCATATGCCGGCTCTGGCATGGGCATGCCGGTAGGTTCCGCTGCCGGATCTCTACTGGCTACCCCCTATACCCAAGCGGGAGGAGCTTCGGTGGCTTCCACTAGCCACCACCATTTGCATCATCATGTTTTGAAACAGCCTGCTGCCAGTCATGTATGACATGGAGAGTCAGGCGGAGCTTCAACGATGGGCGGTGGTGGCGGCGGCGGCAGTACAATTGGCGGTGGCAGTGTGCTAGGTGGTCATGGTACTCTCATGAGCACAGCAGGCAATAGTACGGTTGGCGGCAGTGGTATGCACGGTGTTGGGGCTCCTCCTGGCAGTATAATGCATGGTGGCGGCGGTGGTGTTAGTGGTGGTGGCGGTAATGGTGGCATGAATACTCCTGGTAATGTTTATGGTAATGGAGGTGGTGGCGGTGGTGGGGGTAATGGTGGCAATCAAGTGGCCCCCGGTTCTATGGTAGACTCACGCGCTGTTTCAGTAGTAGTTTCACTGCCGGGCGGGCCTGGTGCCCAGCATCCGGGTCAGGCATTAAGTGATTATGGTCCTATATAGTTAATGGTACGACCTGATACAAATCATTGGGTATCCACAAGTAGTTTTAGTCAATTGTAAAGAGTTTATTTCCCACTTTTGCAAGGAAATAAAGGGGGGAATAGAGATTAAACTAGGGTTCGTTTAAGGGTTAAATTTTTTATATATTTTAGAAGTTTTAAAAAGTTTTTAATAGTTTTTTTCATTTAAACTCTACTCTTAGAGTGAAATTGAGAAAGAGAACCTTAGTGAGACCAAGAACTCTTTTACTTTTGCCTATAAATATTTGAGGTAATGACTTATGTAAAAAAAAAAAACAAAAACAATTTCTTGCTGTTTTCTTAACTCCTTAAAAATTTAAATAAAAACAAAAAAATAACAGGAATTTTGAAACAGCGGCCATATTAAAAATCTAGTAAAGTAATTTTTAATTATTATTTTTCATTCTTTTTCATTTAAATACTATAGAAAACAAAGCTATTTAACTAATAATATATTAAAAACATAAAAAAAATATATATAAAATAAAAATCTAGTCCACATTTTTCCATAATAAAATTTAAGAAAAACTACTGAAAAGATATAAAGAACATAAAACGAAAAGCACAATATCTATAATAATTAAAAAAGAAAAAAAAGTTTATTTAAAATAAACTACAAAGCTAAACTACTTTTTTGTGTTAATTTTTATAATAATTTTTAATAATTTTCTTAAATAGACTGACTTTATAAATAACAAAATAAGAAAATCTTACAAAAAAAATATATAAACTACAAAATGGAAACAGTGTTAAAATAAACATAAAACACAGAAAATGGGAGTAAATGTTTAAGGAACAGAAAGAAAACAGGAAACCATATACTGCCACTGCCAAAAGCCAAGCCATAATGTAAAAAAACCGCAAATTAATAAAGAAAAACAAATCGAATAAAATATCAGTAATAACAACAACATTTGTAAAATATTTCATATTTTTAAAAATAAAAACAAAAAAACAGAATTTAGCCATAACATAAAAAAAATACATAATAATTTAATTTTAATATTAAAAAAAAACTCTAGCATTAACCCTAAAACTTGTAAATATTTAATTTAATATTTAAAAAAAAAGTAAACATAAAAAAACTGTATTAAATCCAAAAAGTCTTGAAATGCATTTTTAAATTAAAACAAAAAAAATTGGTTTAATAAACAATTTTAAAGAAATTTAACTGCAAAATAACAGCATTTAAGCTCAACTTATTTTATAATAAAAACAAAAAAATAAAACATTCTTTTATAGAATTTTAATTGAAAAAAAGCCAATTTTTTTAAACAAAAACTAAAACTTTCATATAACAAAAGTAAAATGTTACAAAAAGTAAGAAAAAAAAAATTAACAAAACAAAATATATATTAACTATAAACAAAATCTGTATAAAGTTTTATAAATTTAGTATTTAATTATAATTAATATATAGAAAAAAAATATTTATAAATATAACTTATATACCTAAAACAAAATCCTTATTAATTGCTATAGTAATACGAAAAACATAAAAATATTTTAAAATCAACCATGAATTTATAATCCTAAAAACGAAAAACAAAAAATTGCAATAAATTTTTGATTTTTTTTATTAAAAAAAAAAAACATTAAAAATATTTTGAGTTTTTTATTATTTCTTTAAGTTTTTTAGAAAATTCTTTTTTTAGTTTTTTTTCTATATTTTTAAAATTTTAAGTTAAATTTTAATTTTCAAATTTAATTTATGTTCCGATCTTTTGACTAGTCTGCGATCTGTCATGTTATCTACTTTAGATCAGACTAGAATCTGGCCTAAGATCTAAAATATACTTTAGTTCTATGTGCTAATTAGTCTAGTTTGAAGATATATTTTGCTCAGGATCACAATCTATGATCACTTGCTAGAACTAGTTAATGACCTAATTTATAGTCCGATCCATAATATAAAATGTATATGATCTCGTATATAGTCAGATCGAAGATCTAGTTCATGACCAACTCTATAATCAATATTCTAGTCAATGATTGTTCTAGAATCTAGATCTAGTTCATGACCGACTCTATGTGCTAATTAGTCTATGACTTAGTTTGGTGATAGATTTTGCTCAGGATCGTAACCTATAGTTTATAGTCTGGTGTATAGCCTGAGCTCATACTTATATGATCACTTATTAAAGCTAAATAATGGACTAATTTATGGTCTGATCCATAATATAAAATGTATATGATCTCGTATATAGTCAGATCGAAGTTCTAGTTCATAACCAACTCTATGTGCTAATTAGTCTATGACTTAGTTTGGTGTTAGATTTTGCTCAGGATCATAATCTATAGTTTATAGTCTGGTATATATCCTGAGCTCATATATTGTCGCTTATTAGAGTTAATTAATGTCCTAATTTATAGTCTTATCCATAGTATAAAATGTATATGATCTCCTATATAGTCATATCGATGATCTAGTTCAAGACCAACTCTATAATCAATTCAATATTTTAGTCAATGATACTACTATGATATAATCTATGGCCTAGACTATCTGATCTGTCTTAAGATAAAGTATAAAGCCTAATTTCTAGTCTATAATGAGATCTATAATCTATATTCATTGACATAGAATACTATGGACTGTATTTCGTTCTATGCTCTAGCCTATATCCTAGTCTATGATCTCATCAATGAACCAATCAGATTTTACATCTAGTTTATGACCAACTCTATAATCAAGTCAGTATTCAAGACTATGGTCCGCTGTATGATCTAGTCTATGGTCTAATATATGGCCTAACCTTTAGTTAAGCCTATGATCTGTCTTAAGATTCGTCCTATGATCTCTTCCATATATAATACTATGTTCTATGATTTCAGTCTATAATAAAGCCTATGGCCTAGTCTATAATGATCTATGATCTCATCTGTGATCCAATCTATGTCCTAGTTTATAGTCTGATATTTGACTGTCTATAGCTAAATTTGCAGTCTGTTGTGTAGACTAGTATTTAATCCAACATATAGCCCGATTAATAGTCTGATAGGGTCTGTTTTATTTTTATAGTCTATAGTCAAGTCTTGAGTCTATAGTACTGATAAGGTCTGTTTTATTTTTATCTGTGTATTATCTTATCTGTGGTCCAGTATAAAATCTGATCCATAGTCTAGTCTATTGTTGGAGCTATGGCCTTATTTATGGTCTAGTCTGTGGCTTGACCTATGGTTTGTTCTAGTCGACAGTCTGGTCTTTGGTCTAGTCTATGGTCTAGTCTATGGTCTTGTATATGGTATGATCTATAGTTCGGTCTCTGATCTGCTCTATGGCTTGGTCTATAGTCTTGTCTATGGTCTAGTCTGGTTTAATGTCTGGTCTATGGTTTGGTCTATGGCCTGTTCTAATGTCTGGTCTATGGTTTGGTCTATGGCCTGGTCTATTGTCTGATCTATGGTCTGATCTTTGATCTGGTTTATGGTCTGGTCTATGGTGTGGTCTATGATCTGGTCTATGGTCTGGTCTATGGTCTGGTCTATGGTCTGGTCTATGGTCTGGTCTATGGTCTTGGTCTGGTCTATGGTCTGGTCTATGGTCTGGTCTAGGGTCTGGTCTATGGTCTGGTCTATGGTCTGGTCTATGGTCTGGACTATGGTCTGGTCTATGGTCTGGTCTATGGTCTGGTCTATGGTCTGGTCTATGGTCTGGTCTATGGTCTGGTCTATGGTCTGGTCTATGGTCTGGTCTATGGTCTGGTCTATGGTCTGGTCTAAGGTCTGGTCTATTGTCTAGTCTTTAGTCTGGTATATGGTCTGGTCTATGGTCTAGTCTATAATTTGATCTATTATCTAGTCTATTGTCTGATCTATTGTATGTGGTCTGATCTATAGTCTGGTCTGCTTAATAGACTTGTCTATGGTCGAGTCCTTGATTTGCTCTATGGTCTAATCTATGGTTTGGTCTATGGCAGATCTATGGTCTGATTTATGACCTAGTCTATAGTCTTGTCTATGGTCTAGTCTTTGATTTGGTCTATTGTCAGGTCTATAGTTTGGTCTATAGTCTGATCTATGCTCTAGTCTATTGTCTGGTCTACTGTCTGGTCTATTATCTGGTCTATGGTCTGATCTATGGTCTGGTCTATGGTCTGATCTTTGATCTGGTCTTTGTTCTTGTCTATGGTCTTGTCTATTGTCTGGTCTTATCTATTGTCTGGACTATGATCTGATCTGCTCTATGGTCCATTTTACATTTCAAAATTGTATTTAATTTCATTTTATAATAATTTCATTAATTTTCTTTAATTAATCATTTAGCAAATTAAAAATTTTAATAAATTAGTTATAAAGTTGAAAATTGTTAAAAATATAGAAAAAAATTAAAACCGAAAAAAATCCCAAAACTCAAAGAGCTGTGCTCCTTTTAAAAACCACATTGATAAGGCAAAAACAATTCTCAACTTTATAGCTAAATTATTAACTAGACAAAGAAAACCTAATCCTAAAAAATCTGTATTATAAGCCCAGCTATTACACAAATATGATGAAAATCCTAAAAAACCCTAAATTTCTTTTTCTACTTACGTCCCTAAATAAAAATAAATTAACTTAATTGTTAATTAATTTTTAGTTGTATTTATAAATTATAAACAAAAATTTTTCTTTTCTCAGTGTACCTTAGGCTTAATGTATGTATTATATTTAATATAAATAATATTTTATTAATATAGATAAAACATAAACAGAAAAAAGCTTAAAATCCTTTTTTTTCTATAAACAAAAAAGCTTGAAAAGAAAATTTGTAACGAATATACGTAATTTGAAAAGACAAACAACTTTTTTTTCTAAAAAAAAAATAATTATATAAGAAAATAAATTTATAAATGTTTATATAAATATTAAGTTTTAAGATTAATATTACAAAAAAAAAAACAGAAAGTGAAACCAAAAGTAAAAGCAAATTAAAGTAGAATTTGTTGGTCTTAAAAGAAATGTGTTAGTAAATTGGGAAAAAATATTTGAATTGAAATTTAAAATTTGGTAAAGAAGGAAATATTTACAAAAAAAAAGAAGAGAAAAGGAAAATTGCAACAAAAAATTAAAAAGAAAATTATAATTTTATTAAAATTGAAAACAAAATTTTTTGAGAGGAAATTTTAATAAGAATTTATGTCAAAGCTAGGTCTATGATCTAGTTTATTTTATGATATACTCTAAGGTTTGGTCTATGGTCTAGTCTATGGCCTGGCCTATTGCCTGGTCTATGGTCTGGTATATGGTCAGGTCTATGATATGGCCTATGGTCTAGTCTTTTGTCTGGTCTATGGTCTGATCTATGATCTCGTCTTTAGTCTGGTCTATAGTCTGGACTATGATCTGCTATATGGTCTGGTCTATGGTCTGATCTATGATCTCGTCTTTGGTCTGGTCTATGGTTTCGTCTTTGGTCTGGTCTATGGTCTGATCTATGGTCTGATCTATGGTCTAGTCTATGGTCTGGTCTATGATCTGGTCTATGGTCTGGTCTTTGGTCTGGTCTATGGTCTGATCTATGGTCTGATCTATGGTCTGATCTATGGTCTAATCTATGGTCTGGTCTATGGTCTGGTCTATGGTCTGTTCTATGGTCTGATCTATGGTCTAGTCTATGGTCTGGTCTATGATCTGGTCTATGGTCTGGTCTTTGGTATGGTCTATGGTCTGATCTATGGTCTGGTACATGGCCTGATCTATGGTCTGGTCTGTTCTACGGTCTGGTCTATGGTCTGGTGTATGGTCTGACCATAGAGTCTGAATAACTCTTCAAAATTTGTTTTTGTCTGGTCTATGGTCTGATCTATGATCTCGTCTTTA